AGTTGCTAAATAAATTCAAGCTCTTTCCTTCAATAAGCACAAAAATAAAAATGAACATCTATGCCCTTGGTGCTAATTTAACATCTTTCTTCCACCTTTTTTCATTGGGTTGATCATATTAAATAACATATCATTTTGCTTGTAACACAAAGTTCTGCTATTCAATTCATTTGCTGCTCAGTCTTAAAAACAAAATATCATGCATTTTAAAAAAATGAAAGAAATGTGGATGCTGGAAATCTGAAACCAAAATCAGAAATTGCTAGAAAATCGCAGCAGGTCTGGCAGTGTTTATGGAGAGAAATCAGAGTTATCATTTTGGATCCAGTGACCCTTCATCAGAATTGCTGATAGATAGGAAGAGGATGGTTTTTAATACAGAAGATGGGGTGGGGAGAAGAGGGAGAGTAAACAATAGGTAGAGATGGAGCCCAAAGAGAGAGAAACACAGTTGGACAGACAAAGGAGTGGTTAAAGTTCAGTCTGGGGGAATGAATAGTTGCTAATGGGGAATGTTAGTGACTGACAATGGATTGTGTGTGGTAGCAGCCCATGTGATGCCAAGACCTGGTGTATGGGAGTGTGGGAAAGCATGGGGGAAGGTGCTTCAGTCCTAAAATTGTTGAACTCAATATTAAGTTTAGATAGCTGCAGGGGTCCCAAGCAGAAAACAAGGAAAAGAGTGTTTAATTTCTGTTTATGTACCTCTTCTTTATTTGTTCTCAGGATATAGGTGAATCTTTAATAGCCTCAAATTTCTCCCGTGCTTTATCCCTTCCTTACTGGAACCTTTGATGGTGGAAACATTTTAGTAAGTCAAGATTTCCAACAGTTGTAGCAGCGTAACCATCTTCTACCTTACTGCAACACTACAAGGTGGTGGTGAGACCACATCTGAAGTACTATGAGCAGGTTTGGTCCCTTTATTTGAGGAAAAATATCATTTCATCGGTGGCAGTTCAGAGAAGGTTCACTAGGATGGTCGCTGGTATGGTAGGATTGACTTATGAGCAAAGTTTAAACAAGTTGGTATTCTACCCACCAGAGTTTAGAAGAAGTCACACGACACCAGGTTATAGTCCAACAGGTTTATTTGAAATGGTAAGCTTTCAGAGTGCTTGTCCTTCATCAGATGGCAAGCACCTAATGAAGGAGCTGTGCTTCAAAAGCTTGCGATTTGAGATAAAACTGTTGGACTATAACCTGGTGTCATGTGACATCTGACTTTGTCCACCCCAGTCCAAAACCAGCTCCTCTGCATCTCGCGTTTAGAAGAATGAGAGGTGATCTCATTGAAATATTTAGGATTCATAAGGAGCTTGACAGGGCAAGTGCTGAGAGGATGATTCCCCTCAAGGGGGAGTCTAGGACCAGAGGGCATAGCCTCAGAATAAAAAGGCATCAAATTAGGACTGAGATGAGGAGGAATTCCTTCTTTCAGAGGTTTGTGATTCTTTGGAACTCTTTGCCATTGGGAACTGAGGGAGCAGAGTTCTTGTGTGTATTTAAGTTAGGTTCGTAATCAGTAAGGGAATCAAGGGTTTCAGGGAGGGGGCTGGAAAATGGGCATGAGGAATATCAGATCAGCCATGATCCTATTAAACAGCAGAGAAGGCTTGAGAGATTGAATGGCCTACACCTGTTCCTATTTCTTATGGTCTTGTTATGGTCTTATGGTCCAACCTGATTTTTTTTGCCATCCTGTTAATATGGCTGCCATAAATTAAGCTTCTGGTCAATGGTAATCCCAAGAATATTGATAGTGGAAGTCAGGCTGAGCAATGGTTGTGCTGTTGATGATTAAGGGAAAAGGTGAAGGAGCACAAGCTGGTTGTGGTCTTGGAAATAGTTATTTATTGGCAACTGTCTTACGTATCCTATGATTTGAGGGTTTGTGGCATATATAAATGATTGGCAATCTTGCAACTTACTGGGTGAAATTCCAATCAGAATAAGACATTGAACTAATGCAAATGAAGAAAACATAACAGGTGAACACAAAATGACAAACAGATACAAAGGTTATTGCAGATACATTTTTTGCATTGTACATATGTATGAACGTATTTAATATTTTTTCTATAACTCGACCCTGAATAAAACACAAGTTTAAAAGTCAGTGTAAAGAAAGGTGGCTTAATGTATTGTAATTTCATAATTAAATCATAATTGCATTCAGATCAGAAATAAATGGAGCTTCTCAAATTAACATCTTAATTGGAAGTTAAATACATAAAAATAACTATTAGTGCAGAATGCGTTAAATAATTAGCTTGAGCACTGTCACTGGACTAATGCTTTAAAATAGCCCTAATCCATATCTGGCACCGGTATCTGATAGCTGTGCTTAGTCTGTAACTCAATCAGCAATGTTATTACAAACACCAGTGCCAGTTGCTATAGTTTTTCACATTTGTCCCTGAAATTGACAGAAAGCTTCAGTCATGATATTCACCAAGGCTACTTAGTGAAGAGTGAAAGCTGGTGGTATCCCATTTAATGGTACAAAGTGTAAGACAACTGGAATCACACCAATGACAAGCATGAAAAATGGTAAATACTTTGAACAACATTTCTTTTATGTTTTCTCCGTACACCTTAAAAGCTTATGGAAAACTAAGATTTTCTTCTGGATTTCATCCTCAATAAATTAAATTTACTTTCTGGAATAAATACAGACAGATCGGACCTGGCTGTGATAGTCTCAATTTCATTGCATCTTTGACTTAGTTGTACAGAGCAAAATTACCGCTGGTTTCAGCTTACATGGGTCTCTGAGATAAATCTCACTTGAGTTGAAATGTTGTTATGTTAGTGACATGAATAGGCAGAACTTTCCCATTTTCACTTAAAGCATTTTGGCAAGTGAGATTCATGGTGGCCAGCCCACCATGTCTTAGAGTGGCTTTCTCATGCAATCATTGGCTCTGTCCCTCTTCAATTATGAAACTGGGCTTTTGGGTGCCTTTCTCTGGGAATTGTGTGGTTGAAGAAGTGGAAGTGCTCATCACTGCCAGAATCGTACAGCATACATACCTCTGACATCATATTTAAACCAAGGTACATGCCACTTTAGAGCCTGCCAGGCAGGAGTGTTTGGGTCAGAGATAGTAGGAACTGCAGATGCTGGAGAATCCAAGATAACAAGGTGCAGAGCTGGATGAACACAGCAGGCCAAGCAGCATCATAGGAGCAGAAAGGCT